GGCGGGTCCCAGTGGCGCGGTACTGCATGAGGAGGCTTGTTACACTTGTAGAATCTTGCCCCAAAAACTGGGATCAGTTTTTTGTTTGGTTGGGTTTTTTTATTTGAATACCTTATCTTAACTTTTATTCAGACTAGTACGTGGCCAAACTACAGTCAAAGTTGCTCTTATTTCTTCTCCCCGTCTTACCCCCCCATTCTGCACCATCACTTTGTTGCACTTAAGGGTTCTGCATGAAAGCTTGTGCCCGTGCCACCGTCTTTCCCTTCCAGCAGGTTATGCACGTGCAAGGGGGTAGTAATTCTTCATTTTAGGTTAATTCTTTGCTTTAATTAAAAAAAAAAAATCAGTCTTAAATGAGGTCGTGCATTTCTATAATGTAAACCAACTTCCTGCATAATTCATTAACTCCTTATTGAAATAATATCAGTTTAATGAAGTATTAAAGTGTTGGGAATCTTTTGCACCACTTAATTTAGACTTCTAAGTATTAATAAAATTTTCTGTTGTGAGTTGGTCAGAATTATACAGTTCTTAAACTCTTTTTCTCTAATTTCCATAGTTGAAGAAAGGGTTAACTTGAGCTTTACATGAAGTAACAAACTGGAGAAAATCTGTAGAAGTTGCCTTCTCTCTTTTAAAAACATGATTTATTACATACTTTATGTTGCTTTTCTTATGGAGTGCACCATTCTTGCATGAGACAGAATCTTCTATATGTCCTTAACTGTACTTCTGACAGGATTTCCTAAAAGACAAAAAGGCAAATGTTAAGTAACACATATAAAGTCACAAAGAGGAGTCCTGTGCTCTTTTCAAAATAGAAATAAAAAACTTTTGCATCTTTGTAAATAAGTAAGATCCTTCTTTTATCTTTGCAGCAATAAGCATATATAAAACTGCATTTTGATGTGTGAAACAAATAAAAAGATATTTGAGAGACAAAGGCTTCATCCTCTCTGAATATGTCATTATGTTTTAGAGTACCTGTCATCCCTTCATGGTAGGGTTGCTTCATGTTCCACAGTGATGTGTACATAAACTTGTTACCAGCAGAGTTCTCAAAATTTTTCCTTTAAATGATAGACTAACCAATGCAAAATAGCCGCTTTTTCTTCTGTCATCCTTTGATTTCCTGCTCTAGTCATACTGTAGAACTAGTCCTTAAAGTGGTGAACTATGGAATATTGACATTGCTAGCAATTTTACTTTTATTAAGTGTTTTTATGGCTCAAGACCAGAGGATTCTAATACTCTATCGTTTGCTTACATCATTTAAGCATATTTTTTAAACCAGCAGCTACATGTGTCCAAGCTAGCACAAGAAGTCAGCTTCATACCTTATGGCTCGGTTTTGCTACTGGTACTGACCTGTTCTGGCCTGGTTATTTCTTTTCATAACAGTAGATATGGTAGATACTCAGTGGCTTACATATAACTGATACTGACATCTGTCTGTGCACTGACAGTGAGAAGTCTCCACCGTGGAATTGCCACAGCAACACCACTTGATAGTACTATCACGGTGAGGGCTAAAGATTCAGTGACTCCAGGGACTGATCTACCTTTACGTTTAGTGGCATCTGTCTCAGTTTGAAAGTTTGGGCTCGTATTGTCTGGGAAGGACACTTGTCCTTTAAAACTGGCTATTTGGCATACTTTGCAACAGATTTCATTTGGAGAGACTTGATAAAATGATACGACTTTTCCTATTGGATTTGTCTTTTTGTGGCTTTTTTTTTCCCTCATGAATATATGAAACTTAAGAATTATCTTAGTAAATTCTGGGTTTTTTCTTTCTGATAGTTTCATTCAGCTGCTTTTTTGTTGCCTGCTATTGTGATTTCTGTTTCTACCAACAAAACAAACAAACAGAAAGTGCTGGAATAGCTTCCAGAGTCAGAAACAAACTCAGTGCTATTTTGTATACTCTAAGCATGTTTTCTTTTAGCTGCATCAAAAGAGGATGGTGCAAAAGAAACATCTCTGTGTAGTATACTTCTAGTAACAAGTGATCAGATAATCTGCTGTCATCTCAGTGTATTTTCTGTGACATTCTCTATAATCTTTGCTTTGTAAGTCAAAAATCTGTATGTGGCTCTTTAGCTTCTGTTATTTATGTGATCAGCTCAAGGTACTTTGGAAAAGGTCCAAAGTGCTTTCCAAATATGAGTCCTTGCTAAGCCCCTCATATTACTTGTATATGAAAGTCTTAATTAATGTCTCAGTTTTCTCCGAGCATATTCTAAAACAGGACTTTGAACTTTTACTGTGTTCCTTGGTGCTAGACATAAAATTAATTTTGAAAAAGAAAATGAAAAAAAAACCTCTAAGTGTAGCACCTTTTTCAGTTTACGAGAACTGCATTTTTTAAGTGTTCGCTGCTATACTTATGTGCCTTGTTCTGGCGTTCAACCTGAAGCTGAAGGAACAAGGTTTCTTGGCCCCAGTAATCCCAGCTAATCAGGAGTTTTGAGTGCCTTAGGACAACTCAAAAGTCAGGCTTCCAGGGTGAGAGCTAAAAGGCATCTGGGTGTCCTGTTTCCTGGCTCCAAAGTATTATTGATTGCCCTTTGCTGTGTGCCTGGTGTTGGCTCCTACATAATAGAATTCAGGTATGCAAAACAAATAGGCAGAGGAAGAGGAGACCAAAGTTGAGCAGTAGAACATTTGGGGAAACAGACAAGTATATTTGAATGTAAGTAAAATTAAATTAAACTGTCCCTTTGTAGCTTAGGCTGCTTGTTCTGAGACTGTGGGTGGTCGTTTTTTGTTTTTCTTTGGTTTTTGGTGTTTTTTTTTTGGGGGGGGGGTTGGTTGGTTTGTTTTTTACATTGGAGGGATCAGTGGTGTGAATCCTTCCTGGAAACAGCTCAAATGAGTGACAGTTTGTGCCTGCTGCTCTTGAGTTGGTTTTGGTGTGTTTTACACATCTGCTTCTCCCTCCAGGGTTTTGAGGATGCAGGTATCAATGCATAAGTTTTGTCAAATAAAGCATTAGTACTTGACTGTAATGCTGTGGCAAACATTTCCCATAGTAATTTATGAAGTGTTGCAGTTAATGTAGATCAGGCTTTAGCAAACCATGCAGTAAGACTTGCTAATAACACTTTCTTTTCTAGGCTTAAGTAGCCAAAGATGAGTCGTGGATTTTCAGAAAACAATAACTTTCCGTATGACAACAATCAAATGGTTTTGGATATGATCCTGTGTTCCCTAGTTGGTGTTCCTCAGCCTATCAACTGGGACAGTGTGGCAAGGCTAGTTCCAGGATATACATCCAAGGAGGTGAATTTACTAATAGAAGAATTTGTATACTTTGAGCAGTATTTTATGAAGAAGAAAAAATCCAGGGGGGAAAGGGTTGGGGGGGGTAGGGGAGCAGGGAAATTGAAGATAAGGAATTATGTTAAATTAGCAGTAATTGAAAAAATATATTTTTTTGTTTCTATAAAACCTGAACATTGAAATTAAGAAATACATTCTGCTTTTTATTTCACTAGAACTGTTACAGAATAAGAACAAAAATTACTGGAAAGTAAAAATTAGAAAGTGGAATAAAGGAAAGAAAAAGTAGTTGTGCTAACATATTTCAAATTACATAGCTAACATTTTCATGGAAAGGATGGCAGCACCTACTAACCTCTTGTAGATTGTAGTATGCTTACTAGCAGACCAGATAACTTTCTATGCTTGTCATTACAATCCTAAGGAAATAAAAGTTACAGATCTCCATTACATGATTAAGAGTGCAGTTACCTCTTGCTTGGTTCTACAAGATTTGTGTTTTTCTTTCTTTGGTTGGAAGAGTGTTGGAAGAACCTAGTGCTTCCGTATACTTAATCTTTCTGGATTACTGAATTTCCTGGTGAAATGCGTACTTCTTAAAAATAATAATTTTGGTTTTGTTTCTTGTTTTTGTTTTGTTTTGTTTCTGAGGGGGGGTAAGCTAAGAGAAGAAAATGTCTTTTGCCCTTGTGATTCAGCAAAGCTGGAAAAATCAAGCAGACTGTCTTTATTTTCTTGCACACTTAATCAAATGTGTCATCTCACGTTAGAACATAAAAATGAATGATTGGGAGTAGAAGCTTCTGTGGAGTGTGACTGCCTTTCAAGTGCTTGGCAAAGCGCTTGTGGGCGGGTAGTCTCTACTGTTTACCTTTCAATTTGCAGACAGTACCATGCACATTAGGCAAATAATTATGAAAGCATCGGTGAGCGCTTTCCCCTCATGTTAATTAAGATGATACGATTGATCAGTATGTGTCTGATTACTCTGTTTTGAGAGAACAAATATGGGGAGTCTCTAAATAAATGTATACCCTTGCTTTTATGTATCTTTTGTGTATAGTAGACTGTCATTGTTGCAAATTTGAGACACTGTTAGTATCAGGAGGATGTCATTGTGTGCACCTCTCCCAAAGGGGCAGGTGGTATGCAGCAGTGTCAGTTAGCTCAATCCAAAATAAATAAACAGAAATAGCTGCTTGAATGAAGCCTAATGAGTGGTGTTTCTGGAGGATCACCTGTAGAATTAAGTAGATTTACTTGTATGTGTAAATTACCTGTGTGGAGGATTCTGCTGAAACATAATTGTCTATTTATCAGTACAAAATGGAAAGACTTTCTAGTTCATCAAAGCAAGGAATGGAAAGTTAATAGAACTGCAGTGGAAATCACCGGTCCATTTTATCCAAATCAGACTAGAAGTCATGAAGTAGAAGAATAATAATTATGAACTAATTACTGTAGCTACTTTTAATACTATTTAACAGTGTTTACAGTAAAAGTATTAGTTACAGAATGAGAATTTAAATTCTTCCCGTAACTTTCCCTTTTGAAGATCAGGCTTAAAACCACAGGGTCTGAGCAAATAAAGGTTGAAACGGTTTCTCTCTTATTTTTTCTCTTTCTTTTAGTGTATTTAATTACGGTAAATCTTACTTATTTTACTGTATATTTATGTACTTTCCTCATACCACTAACTAAATAGGAAGCATTGTAAGTTTAATATCAGTAACTGTTCACATGCAAAAGATATTAAATACAATATCCATCTCAAATTATAGTTATTAAGAATGTACTGAAAGCTACTACTTCATTGTACTATCATTTAATCTTGTGACAGTGTGCAAAAAGGTTTGATGAACTAAAAAGCAGTGGAAGTTCTCCTGTTGACAACCAGTATAATCCCCTGATGGCTGCTGGTGGGAGTCCTGTGGAAACTTTAGCTACGTACATCAAATCCTCCTTGCTCGATACACAGACAGAATTTCAGGAGCCTGCAATTGGGCAGGATTCCATTACTATAACTGGTATGTTTTCAGTCATTCTGAAATATATTGGCTTTGATTATAATCCATATGTGCATGCCTTTCTGTCCTGAGTGGTAAGTCTACCCAAGAATAGTACTTGTTCATCTTTGAAAAAGAAAGTTAAGTATAAATATAAGGCATACATGAACTCACTTTCAGTTAGTTTAGATTAAGAATCTGTTTGTTTGGGTATTTTCAATAGCTTGTCTTTCCAAAAGGCATAAATTCTTATGCAAAAACTTTTGTTTAGATTTTTTGGTGGGGAAAAGAATTACTCTCCTGTTTTGTATCCCCAGTGTTAAGCCTACAGCCATTTGCAATCATATTAAGCAGTGTTATTAAAATGACTAGAAAGTTTTGGATAGTAAAGCTGCAGAAAGCTGAGAAGGTGATCCCTTGAAGTCAGACCCTTCTCTTTGAGCAGAAAGCTCTGTGTTTGCCATGCTGCTCAGTGGCAGGTTGGCAACCTAGGAGTTGGAGCGTAGTTTAGCTACTTTTTGATGCAAGACAGTCTTGCAATGACATATATGTCCTAGTCAATTATGTGTAACAAAATGACAGAAAAGGACCAGTCCTAATAGTTTTATTTCAATCTGAGCATCATGAAATATTGTTAAACATCTCCTTAAATATTTCTGTAAGAAGCTGTAATTAACTGTGTGTTAGTTCTCTGGTTTTCCTTGTAGACTGAGATATTTTCAGCACCTTGCAGGATTTGGTAAATATGTTGCCTGAGAAATTTGCTTCAGCAATGAGTAAACACTTTCTGTGTTTAAAAATTAAGACAATGAAGTGCTCAAACAAAATGTTATCTGTTATGATGTCCTACACAGTGGTGCAGGTTTCTGGTCACTGTTCTCTTTGCAAAAGAAAAACAGCTGTTTAACTTTTGCTGGGGAACTAATAGAATGTTTTTAATAACTGTAACCAAGAGATGATATTTGAAAACTGCATATGGAATATCTGGACTGAAAATGCTTCCAATCAGCTTTCAGTTATGTACTTGTTACATGCATGATGTGAAATAAATGCTTCTTGCATCCACAGGTGGCTCCTTATAAGATTAGTAGTTTCCCAGTAGGCAGTTAACAAGCTAACTCTGCTTACAGAACTCCTTAAATAATTAGTGCATGCTTTCTTTTTAGCGATGTAATACATGTAATAAGTAATAACGCACTTAAGTACCTTGATGTTTCCTACTACAAGATCCTAGCCTGAGATTTTTCTGTTTTATTTGTGACTTTGAATAAATAATTTTCCCTATTTATATGTAATTTGTTTATATGAAATTAGGATAATTAATCTTTTTCTCACAGGCTTGAGTGAACTCACCTTCTTAATATTTGTAAGGTACTTGTATATTTCAGAATTAGGGATTTGAGAAGAACTATTTGTCAGGGTTTTTTTGTTTGTTTAACTAGTGGATTTATTCACATCTACATATTGTTAGGATCAAGAATCTGGGGCCTCTTTGGATTTGTTTGTAAATGTGAGTAACAGCAAGAAAAAGCAATCAGACTAAATTCATTTTGAACTGGATTCTGGTTTTGGCTGAGTTATAAAAGCTCATTTACTAACAACAGTTTGCCTTATAATTAGCAGGTGAGTCCCTCTAAATGCATAATATGGCAGTAAACAAGCATATAGGATAGCCTTTTACTCAAAGTATTTATTACTAACTTTCAGAAGTCAAACTGTAAGATAAGAAGAAATGTATGGTGAAGTTCAGACATCCCCCTTAATTTGGTTGTGTTGCATATTTTTGTCAACATAATTTCCTTTTAATAATTAACTTCACTGTCTTCAAAATAAATTTCTTAATATTTGCAGACAGAACTCTTCTGTGTCATTTTTTTCCATAGAGGCTTTCTTTAAAATACCTTGCCTTGCGTTCAAAGCCTAGGACTCCCACTGTGGCTGTATTTCTGTTAGGTCGTCTGCCGGCAGTGGAATGGCTGCTCTGAAGTTGTGGCTGACCTAGCCCCTTCCAAGGTTTTACTAGGGTCTGTCTAATAAATCTTCACCTTTTCTTAACTGTGTTCCCTGTAGTATGGCCTTACAAAGGCTTAACTGTGCAAGGCCTTAGGCTGTATCGTTGGAGGAAGTTTTGTTTCTTCTGCCTCGAGTGTGATAACTTTGCTTTCCTGAAGGGCTTAACTGCTGTGTTCTGAGCTGTACAGAGCTTCCAGATCATATCAGTCTGCTATAGTTATTTTGCCATAAGAAGAAGAGGTCTATCTTGGTCTCCCTCGGAAGAGGATAGCCTCTTACATTACATGAGAGGAAGAAGTTGCTTCTGGAACATTTTTTTTTCCTAGAAAACTAGCAGTAGGGAGTAATCATGGAAAATGACAACCTTATCACTTTCATCAGTGAAAGGTATGTGCCCTTCCATTATTTAAAAAATATAATGATCTTTCTGACTATAGGCAAGATTATTGAAGTTTCAGGTTGCAGTGATCCATTCATCACAGTCGGGAAAGTTCTTCAATGTCTGATTGCTGGGGCTGATTGCTAAGTCCAGAACTTAGTGGTGTTAATGACTAGAACTCCTGGACTTCACTGGGTTTTGTATCCAGGTACCAATGCCTATAGCACATTTGTGGAGATAACCTATTTAAACTAAAGCACAGCTGTACTTTATTTCTGGAATAAGCTATGTGATGTAGCTCTAGGACCAGCCAGATTTCATGGTCTGCTTCCTTTGAGCATTGTTTTCTATAATCTTCTGCTTTAGGCCATGCATTTCAGAAACTTAGCAAAAACACATCTTAAGAGACTTCTGTGCTTCTATTTAGACACAATTTATTTCCAAAGCTAACAAATTATGGCTAGGAAGTGGAGGTGGTCTCAAGTTGTTATATCCTGCAGCAAAGCTTCCTGAAAATGGAAGTTTTGATGTGACAGAGTCTTAAGACCCATATCCCACAAAGCAGACAATGAGAGCTAAAGGAATGGATTGCATTCCCAGAAGGAAATGCTGAAGACTCTCCATGAATCTGACTGTTCTATGTTGAGACAGAGCCAATCTGAATTTGCAGCCTGGAGTCTGGGCAACCTAGCAATGCTGCTGATCTGAGTTTCCAGGAATTTGGATTATCTAGAAGCCCTTATGATAGCACAGATTTGTTGCTAGTTGTGTAACATTGCCCCACCATGACAGCTGTTACTTCAGGCATTGTTGTTCTAATGCAGCCTTTTTTCCTTACATTTAAGGAAGACCCAGCACAACCTCCCCAAGGACTTGTTCTTCAGAATCTGAGAAAGGTCCTGGGCTTAAAGGTAGAGAAAGCACTGATGAAAGCCAGGGGTAAGAAGAAATTAATGTTTTTGTTGTCTAGGGGATTATAGCACTGACAGAAAGATGTCTAAATTGCTCATACTTTTCTGCTATCAGAAAGAAAACAGCTGGAAACATCCTAATAAATGCTGTAAGACGTTTTGAAACCTTACATTGCTACAGGAATTCTGGGAGTTGGTTTGAAAATTTCTTATATGCAATAGGGATAGTTTATTTATGAATCTTAGTGGCTGATCACTGCTGATTTTAAAAAGGAATGAAACAATACTATGCTTAATAACATTTTAATTAAAAAAATTCTGTGAACATAGATTTATTGTAAGTAAAAGTAGGAAAAGAAAGCTGTAAATGAAGAGTGGAAATGAAAAATTTTACTATCAGTTCAAATACCTATGCATGTCACTGTTTTTCATACTATCACATCCCTGTTTTCCATACTCTACAAGTACACATAGAGTTGTGTTTGTTTGAAACCTAACAGTAACTGTCTTTCTGTAGATACAGCATTTGACCTTTTCTTAAGAAATAGACATTTTAATATACAATAAACCAATTTTAATTTCCACAGATGAACATTGCTGTCTGTTGTATGCTATTGTATGTCCTTGGTGTCTGAGCAGTTTGGGGGGGGGGTGTGTGTGTATATATATATATACACACACCTATTATTTTCAAGAAGTTTAAAAAGGGAGAACAAAGAAATTCTCTGTGTCATTCAGGTAGTATCTCATAACAAACTGGTAACTGGAGCTAGAAATTTGCTTTCTCTGGTCCCTTAACAATTAAATTGCACTGATTATTTGATGTCAGAGGATATGCATCTGTGTTCTTCACCTGACTGCTATCTGGCAGTAGTTTCTATCAATACTTTGTATTAATAGTTAATAACTGCAATTTGTTTTCTTGCTGTTAATAAAAGCCTGTTAGCAACATCAGTGTTGCAATGTGTGATCCAGATTTGGAGATGAGATCTCTGTTTATCGGTTTTGTTGTTCTAATTGGCTTACAGTCCTAATTTGCTTTGTGGCTTTTTTTTCTTTTTGAGGCCAAATATGGTGATCCATGTGTGTGATGAAGCTAAAAACCTTAAAGAAGATTTTGTTTGTCCTCGAGACCTTTTGGTTTCGGAAATGAAATATTTTGCTGAATATCTGTCAGTGGATGCCCAGCGCTGGGAAGAGGTGGACATTTCAGTGCACTGTGATGTTCACATCTTTGACTGGTTGATAAGATACGTGAAAAGGAACGATAAAGATTCTGAAGCTAATGAAATGCCCACTTTAGGTAAAAGAAAGCCTGCAGATAATTTGTTGTAGGTTCATTGTGTTCTGCACTAATGGAAAATTGATGGTTTTGATACAGTTCAGCCCCAGTCCCTTTGTTTCCGACTTTTGCATCGAAGCTTGTAATTTGTTAGAAAAGTGTTACAACAGACATCCTCTGGTCATTGTAGCAGATGTCTCTGCTTTGTCAACACTGACAGTTTTGAGGAACCATCCTGATAGCTGAAACAGTGAAAAAGGTCTCGTATATTTTGGGATCTGGTATTTTTAATTAAGGTTCTTCAGACCTCTTCTGAACAAGGACAGAGGGGTAGTTTTAAAATACTGGTGATTGTTGGGTTTTGTTTTGTTTCCCCGATACTCCTCATGGGCACAATTGCAGTATCTTCTATAATTTTGATGCAGTCTGTTACAGTGGTAGAAGAACTTTTACCTTTAAGAATCTGAGGCAAATTTTTAAACTTTGCTACCCTTCTTAAAAAATATAAACAGAAGAATAAAGTTACAACTTGCAATGCAAAGGTTATGTTAAGCAAAATCTCATGTGGGTGTGATGGCTACAGATGGAAGTTAATCTTGTGTAACTGGTTAGTCGTTACATCCCTTTGAAGCCATGTTTTCTAGTTTTTATAAATTCCGGTTTGTTTGTACACTGGCCACTTAAATGATAAACCAGACCTTAGTTTTAAGATGGAAAATGTTCTGCATATCGGAAGATGGAATGACAGGTTGATTGGTAAAATAATACTTAAAACTAATATTAAATATGCAGAGGGAGGGATGTGATAGGAAATTATCAAAAGAATTCATTTAATAAACCCTTTTTTGTTGCCTTTTAGAACCATCAAATGTCATATCAATTCTTATTTCTTCTGAGTTTTTGAAGATGGATTCATTAGTAAGTATTAAGAAAGATTCTCTGCCAGAAGAGCACGGTTAATTACCAGCCCAACAGCTTGCTTTGGCTGTTACATAAACAGATGATGTAGTGAGAACATTTGGAGAGTTTTACCACCTTTCTTATTCAATGCAGTGGGTTTTTTTCCTTATTAAATTATCTAATATTTGCAGAATCTCAATGCAAGAAGACTCAGAGTAAGTTATTTCTAAATGTGATGGTCTTGGAGTTGCCATCTGATGGAAGTAACATCAGTATCTGACTTCTAGTAGGTTTTATCAAAAAAGATTATTAAATGAATGGATACCTTTGTCTTATATCCTTTTTACACAAATGACACTTCTGCAATTTAGGATCTGGTTCTCCAGGTCTATGTAAGTAATATCTACTGACTTGTACGTTAAAGTGTTGGTCAAAAGTTCTGTCACTGGGGTGACCTGCAATTAAATGGACAGTAAACATACCTGTTTGAGATCCAGGCAACACTATGTATGTGTACTGTGGTCCTCTTTTTACAAGCAAAAAGATGAAGCATTTGTGCATTTGTTTTCTGGTCTGTAGAAACCTTTTGGAGGAAAACGTAAACTAACGCAGAATCCCGTTAATTCAGAGTCTCTTTTAGATAAATCTGAGACTTGTTTTTTATTTTTAAGTTGAACTTAAATAGTTTTCCAAAACACCACACTTTAAAAAATAAAAATCTTGAAGCAATTAGTGCATCTTTTGAGATAGCCTTGTCTAGACTTCCTTAACAATATTTCTAATGTTTCTGTTTTTCCTAGGTAGAAAAATGTATTCATTATTGTCACAAAAATATAAATGCTATTGTAGCCACACCATGAAAAGATGAATGCTATTGTAGCCACACCATGTAACATGAATTGTATCAATGCTAATCTTGTCACGCACATTGCTGATCTCTTCACACACAATGAAGTGGAAGAGCTGAAGGACAAAAGAGACAAATTTAAGAGGTAACTTTTTTGCCCTGTAATGCGGTACTGAAGTGCTGTAGGACTTCTGGATCATTTTTCAGAACAGATAAGACACTGGGGGGCTTAAAATTATATACATATATATATATA